GCGCCTATGGTCAGGCTTCAGCTTGGATGTGGCTGAGGGCAGGAGGTGTCAGTTTAAGGTATTAGGGTTCACAGGGAAGGGGTCATGGGAGTCAGGGCCTATCAGGAGCATGAGGGTTCTCTATACATCAGTGGTTTCTCGGTAGATCCACTGGGGTAGAATGGGGTGGTGGTGGTGGTGGTACAGAGGGCTGTCCTGGGAATGGTGGGGTCCCAGAGGTACCTCCAAGCACATTGGCATCGAGGTAGCTTTAGGGTAGCAGCACCATGGGGACTCTGGAGGTCACCTTAGCACCTCAAGGCTGCTATGGGGTGGCATGGTGTCCTCTGAGGTTATGGAAGATACAAGGTGACTATGGGGTGAGAGCTCCATGGGGTACCAAGCATTGTGGGGTTACAGGTGCTGAGCAATTAGTTGTAAGGAAGTAAAATCAGGTCATGGGGGCACCTGGGATCACAGGGGTCAAGGAGGGCAGCACGAGACCCAGGGACATGATCTGACCTGGCAGTGGGCCTGGGGAGTACTATGAGGGGCCTGGGCTTGTTGGAGTCACAGAGCACAATGTGGGGTGTCACAAAGTGCCCGTGGTGGCGGGGCAGAATTCAGGATGCTGCTGTGCAGTTTGGGAGACAGACATGGTGGGGGGCCAGTAGGTTTGGAGAGCCACAGAAGGCTGTAGCATTGGAGAAAGACTCTGGAAACATGGGGTGTGGGGGTAGAGGTGACTCACAGACACACCCACACATGACCCCCACTCACCGCAGCTCATCCATCTCGTCCTTCAGGGCCTGCGCCTCGTGGGCGAGCCCAGTCAGCGCCTGGTTGCGCTGCTGCAGCTCTGAGACCTCCCGCTCCAGCTCCACACAGCGCTGCCGCTCATCTTCCCGGCTGCTCTCCAGCCTGGGGGGGGGGGGTGTCGGGGAAGGGGGGGGACAGGTGAGAAGGCAGGCCCCAGTCATTCGTTGGGGTGTTCCTCCAGTGTCCCCCATCCCCACCTGATGACCCCACCTGAAGTTCTCCTCCTGCAGCTGCTCCAGCTGGGACTGTAGCAGTAGCAGCTTCTTGGCAGTGAGGCCCAGGGCCCCCTCCCCTTCGGGCCGGCCGACTCGCTCCCGTAACATAGCGTTCTCCTGCGCCAGGCCCTGCTTCTCTTCTGACAGGAGCACCAGCTGGTGGGCAGGGGTGCGGGTGCTCGAGCTTGGAAGGCAGCCTGCCAGGGACCCTGCCCCAGGAGCACTGGTATCCCCCCTCCCCACCTCTGTCCCACCTGCCGCTCCAGGTCCAGACAGCGCTGTCGCAGCTCATCCCCCTCCTCTGCCTCCTCGCTCAGGAAGTAGTACCTGCGGGACTGAGGGGGTGGGGGTGCCAATGAAGTTAGGGATCCAGAGGAGGCTCTGGAGGAAGACGTTAGGGTTTCTAGGGCTACAGAGGAAGGGGCCAGGAAACCTGCAGGGTCTACGGAGAGAGGGCTGGAACCCCAGGGGATGGGGGAAGGACCATTCACGACCCCACTAGGGATCTGGGAAGTGGCTAGGTCCCTGGCGGATGGAGGTGGTTTGCAGGCCCTGACAAATTGAGACTTTTAACCCCACCCCTTACCTGACTGTCAAAGTTGCCATAGGACTCCAGGGTCAGGGAGTCTGGGGTGTCCTTGGTCATGAGCTGTTGGGTGAGGAAGCAGCAAGTTTGAGGTGGGGTGTGGGGAGGCCCTCTGAAAGGCACCTTCAAAGCTTCCAAGATCCAGTCTGGGCACCTCTCCAGCTCCATCCCACCCCCAGTGCCCCCAGCCAGTTCTCCACAGTCACTCCAGCCCCGACGGCTGCCCTGTGTCCACCCCGCAGGGAGGTCTTCTGACTTGGAGCAGCTTGGAAATGGCAGTCATGTGAGTCATGTGTCTAGCCAGCTGAGTTGCAGGCAGAGCCCAGACCTGTGCCCAGTTGTCCCTGCTCTGGAGCTGCCCCCTGCCCTGCTACTCCTTGACACCCTGGGCTCCGCCACCCACCTCCTGGATGGCTTCCATCACCACATGCTGAACAGACTCCTCCAGCGTCATGATCCTCTGGATATGCTCTGGGGATGGCAGGGGTCAGGGGGAGGCTGAGACCTGGACCCAGGGCCGTGGGGAGGAAGGACCACTTTAGGCCCCTCCCAGGAAGCCCCTCCCCCCATCTAGCTCTTACCCTGCTTTTGCTCACAGCTGATGGCACAGCCCAGAACCAGCTGAAGCAGCTTGCCAAGCTCTGCCGGGTCTGAGAACTGGCCAATGAGGCTCACGTCTGGGAGGTGCTGCTCAGACACAGGGTGTCCCAGGACCTGAGGGCAGGGGTGGGAGTGGGGGGTTCAGGCCTCACAGACCCTGCTTGCCTCCACCCCAATCTGCTAAATCCCTTTACAGGTTACTCACATGCTGGGAGTATTCCACCAGGCTCTGCAAAATCCTCTTCAGATTGTCAACCTGGGGAGGGACAGGGGCTGTGTCTAGGGACCCAGAGCCCCAGGAAGGGACCAGGCAGCCCCACCCCATCTATTCCATTGCACCTCTCAATCCCTGGTCACCTCATCCTGTCTGCTCCTATGGTCTGAGTGTCCCCTCCCCTGGAAACACTCTCTCAGGCTGTCTGTGGTCCTTGTCCATCTCAGCTGTTTTTGTGCACATGGCCCCCCAATCTAATCGCTTCTCACCACTTGCACCACCTCCCCTTGGCCCTCATTCAGCCCATTGCACCAGCTGTCTTTGCGGCCGCCAGGCTGCCTGCATGTCGTTCCTCGCCATGCCACCAGGGGGAGCATTCTAAAACTCAAGCCAGGTTGTGTCTTTGCTCAACACTAACCCTTCCTGGGCTTTTCACAGCACTTAAAATAGAGTCTGCATCCCTGAGCCCTGGCCTGCCCGTGGTGACCTCATCCTCTACCATTTTCACCTTCTTCTATCTTCTGGTCCAACTTCTCTGCCGTTCCTCCATCACACCAAACTCTCTACATCTGGCACAAAGAGTCCCCGTGACAGGCTGGGTTATGCACTGGACTGCTACCTTGCTCTCAGGAGAAAGATGAGGTTTCTACTCCCAGAAAGATTTTTTTTCTCTCTTCCCCCCACTCCCAGAAAGATTTACACCCTCGGAAATCCAAAGGGGCAGTTCTACTTTGTCCTGGAGTCAGTCTGTCCTAGGGTCTGTCCCTGCAATGAGTTTTTGTTTTGTCTTGATTTGATGTCCGGCATAAGAGCCAGAGTGGTGCAAAGGTTAATTAATTGGATGCTAACGGAGTCCTGGCAATGTAGCAGCTATGCGTTGCACTGCCTAACTGTGAGGTCATCAGTTCTAAACCACCAGCCACTCTATAGGAAAAAGAGGAGACTTTCTACTCCTGTAAAGAGTTACAATCTCAGAAACCCACAGGGAAAGCTCTACCCTGACCTACAGACTTGCTATGAATCAGAATTGACTCTATGGCAGTGAGTTAACCAAAAGGTTCAGTGGTTCAAACCCACCAGCTGCTCAGTGGAAGAAGATGCAGTCATTTGGTTCCATAAAGGTGTACAGCCTTGAAAACTGTACGGGAAGTTCTATTCTGTCCTACAGGGCAGCGATGATTCAGAATCGACTTGATGACAATGAGATACTTGGAGTCAGGAAGCCTGGTAGGGCAATGGGTAACCATTCAACTGTTAACACAAAGGTCAGCAGTTTGAACCCACCTGCCAACTCAAAGGAGGAAAAACAACAACAAAACCCTAGCGGTCTGTCTCTATAAAGGTTATACCTTAGGAAGTGCTATGGGGCAATTCTACTCTATTGGATGGACAGGGTCACTATGAGCTGGAACCACTTGGACGACATAAAACAACAACAACATACTTAGAATACTCTTCCTCCTAACCTCAGCTCATCTCAAGTAACCACCCAGTCACCAGATAGTTCCCATGACCCAGTTTTAACTGTCTTCCTAAGACTCCTTGCCATTGGAAATGCATTGTGTGTGTGTGTGTACGCTATTGCCTGTCCGCATCACTAGAAGATCAGCTGCATGAGGACAGATCTTGGTCTACGCCTTTCCTTGCTGCATCCCTATGCCTGGCCGGCAGGGGTTGCTCAACAGTGAGTGAATGACTTAGAGGCCAGTGGACTCCTGAGGGGGTGTCTGACAATCGGTCTCGCTCCCTAGGACTGTCTCCGCATCACCCAGACCGATCCTTTTCCTGAACATCTCTTCACCAGCCTGTCCCCCAGTCATGGGTCCACCTGTCACCTTCAGTCTCCAGTTGTGACCTGGGTCCTCGGAGATGCCCTGGAGCCATGCTTCGTTGAACCAGGATGGGTCTCTAGGGGTGAGAAGGTGGGGTGAGCGCAGGTGGAGGGCCTTTTGGGGCCCTCCCCGTCAGCCTCACGCACATCTGGTTCAGCACATAGGCTACTGCAAGGCCGCTGCTCAAATCCTGTGGGCTGGCGCAGGGGGGCGGGGTGTGGAACGTCTGCAACTGAACGAAAAGGCAGGAGAAGGGGAAGGGTTAGTATCGGGGACCGCCGAGCCACACCCCTTTTTGTCCGAGTCTGGGGTCAGCAGGAACCTCACGACCTTAGACAGGGACTAACCTGTTGCATCACAACACCAGCTCTTGGCTGGGAAGTGCCCTCTACTCACCTGGGACCAGAGGGGGCGTGGCCTTACTTCACCTCTGCCCAACTAAGCCCAGAGAACATAGAACCAAGAGTCATCTGAACCCCGCTGGAACCACGTGACCGATAAGCTCACCTGTGCCCCCGTCCCATGTGACCCAGCCACCGGAGGGGTGGGGCCTCACCTGTACTTTCCAGGCAGACCTGCCACGTGATGGGGGCAGGTGCTCAGGCCAGAGTCCAACGGCTGGCCTTGTAGGCCCGACCCTTTCCCCCTCCCAACCCCAAGGCAGAGAGGCAAGCTGAGCTAGGGTCGGGACGCCCGGTGGGGGCAAAAGCGCGGGTACACACCTGTTCCCGGCCCCGCCCCCGACCTACCCAGGTGAGCAGAGGCCCGCATAGCTCCGCCTTGTCCACACTCATGGCTCCCGATCGGATTTGACTCGGGCCGCGGAGCCGCCGCCACCGCAGGCGCCTCCAGTCCGCCACTAGCGAGCTCCTGTAGCCCCGACCTCCCGCTCGGCCTGGAGCCCCGCCCCTCCCCGCCCCCTGGACGCTGGGCCCTCCCCCGTCACGTGACCGCCTCCCGGCGCCCGAACCTGGCGCCGGCCGGGCCATCTTGGATGCGGGCAGCGATCCTGCGTCCCTCGCCTCTAGAGGTCAGGCTGGACCAGCCTCAGGCCTCCCACCAGTGGCCGGCCGCCCCTCCTGCCCAGGCTCTTTTGGAGATTGGAAGGACCTCACGGCCAGCATCTGGGGCCGAGCTTTTGTACATTTCCCTTCCTTTCAATGTAGAGATTTCTGCGTAACCACCTGTCTTGCTGCCCTGACTGTTCTCATGACTGGAGCCTGTCGTGTGCGTGGGGACTCGGAGAACGGAACACTAATGGTCTCTTCCCGTCTTCTGTGACTTGGGAGGTTTGCCCGAGTTTTGCAGACGAGGGGACCCGGTTGTGCTAGGTTAGGGGTAGGAAGAATCAGCCAGTCCTGGGCAGTAGACGGACACACGGGCCCGGCCTGGATCAGCCCCCAGCCAGAGACCCGGGACCCGAGTCCGCCTGCCCCGAAGCTGCGCGTCGCCCTCGGGTCACTAGAGGGAGCACGGACCGCGGGGATGAGGCCTTCAGGGAGAAGCTGGGGGAAGAAGCGCGGTGGGATGGGCCCTGAGCACTGGGTGGAGGGCGGTGGAGTATATATGATAACCATCATTGTTATTAGTTATTTCCCTTCCGTCAGCCAATAGAGAAAAAATGTTGGAGGACCTTGTGGCATCTTGATGTGTAGTGCCTTCCAATGTACAGCCTGGTATCAAGACACTATTCTGTTGTGACCCATGGAGCTTTTTATTGACTAATTTTGGAAGCAGATCGCCAGGCCTTTCTTCCTACTGTCTTATGCAGCTATATACTCTGGTAGAGCTTGTGCAGAGCCCTGGTAGCTTTGTGGGTTAGGCACGATGCTTAACCACGAGGTCTGCCATTCAAACACACAGCGGCTCCATGTGCTTCCACAAAGATTTATAGCCTCAAACCCCGCAGAGCAGCTGTAGTCCGTCCTACACAGTTGCTGTGGCTTGGAAGGGACTCCAAAGCAGTGGGTTGGACTTGAGTTTGGGCTTTTTGGTTGATGGTGTAGCGTCACAGCAGCATGCAGGCCACCACAGGGCCACAACTGACAGTCCGGTGGTGGCAAATAGCAATCTTGATAACAATAAACTTACATTCACCATGAATGGCATGCCTACTGTTTGCAGTTCCTTTGTTAAGTTATTTAAATAGCCCAGCTGGTAAGGTTTTCGCAGCCCCTGGTTCTTTGGAAGATGAGGAAACAGGTTATGGGTAGACCTAGCTGGGGGAGGAGTGGGCAGAGCCCTTTGACCCTGTGGAGTGGGTGGGGTAATGAGCAATAATTACAGGTTACAAGCTGCTTAATACCTGGTGGCTCAGTGGTTAAACATTTTGCTGTTAACTGAAAGGTCAGAGGTTCAAACTTAGCAGCTACTCCATAGAAGAAAGATGTGGCAGTTTGCTTCCTTAAAAATTCTCACTCACCCACTGCATTCAAGTTGGTTGAGGGGGCTGGGAGGGGGTGGCGAGGAAGAGCAGCTGATACCAAGGGCTCAACAGAAAGTAAATGTCTAGAAAAGAACGAAGACAACATATGTACAAATTCGCCTGATGCAAGCGATGAATGGATTGTGACAAGAGTTGTAAGAGTTAAAAAAAAAAAAAAGTTGGTTCTGACTCATATCCACCCTACAGGACAGGGCAGAACTGCCCCTGTGGGTTTCTGAGACCGCAACCCTTTTATGGGAGTAGAAAGCCTTATCTTTTTCCCATAAGGAAAAAAGACGGTGGTTTAGACTGCTGGCCTTCTGGTTTGCAGCCAATATGTAGGCCACCAGGCCTCCTCCCTTCAAGATGACAACCTCAGAAAAGTGCAATTCTGGGGGGTAGAGAGAGAGGGGGGACCGATCACAAGGATCTACATATAACTTCCTCCCTGGGGGATGGACAACAAAAGTGGGTGAAGGGAGACATTGGGCAATGTAAGATATGATAAAATCATAATTTATAAATTATCTAGAGTTCATGAGGGAGGGGGGAGGGGGGAGGAAGGGGGTGGAAAAAACAACTGAGGAGCTGCTTCCAGGAGCCCAAGCGGAAAGCAAGTGTTTTGAGAATGATGAGGGCCACGAATGTATAAGTGTGCTTTACACAATTGATGTATGTGTGGATTGTGATAAGAGTTGTATGAGCCCCAATAAATGATTTTTAAAAAAGAAAAGTGCAATTCGATCTGTCCTGTAACCACATTGACTGCATCAAATCAGAATCATAGTGAGTCTACAGGACAAGGTAGAGCTAACTGCCCCTTTGGCCTAGGCTGTAAATCTTCACAGGAGCAGACAGCCCATCTTTCTTCCTCGGAATGGCTGGTGGGAGTTGGAAACACCAACATCCAACCTTGCCTTTAGCAGCTCCACACATAACCACTGCATCACCAGGGCTCCTTACTCTGCCCTATCTAAAAAATTAAATTAAATTAAAGAATCAAACTCATTGCCATTGTGTCAATGCCAAGTCATAGGACAGGGTAGAATGGCCCCTGTAAGTTTCCAAGACTGTAACTCTTTGTTTGCTTTTTAATTTTTATTTTTTTGAAAGTGTGTGTTTGTTTTTAATAGCTTTATTGGCATATAATGAAAAAAAAACCACACAACTCAATAGTTCAATCATATGGAGAAAAGTCGTACTGTCACCACAGTCAATTGTAAAACATTTCTTCCCTTCTTGCATTAGCTTCCCATTTCCCCCAACCTCCTCTCCGACACCCCCACATCCAAACCAACTCACTGCCATCAAGCCCCTTCTGACTTATAGCAACCCTAGAAGGCAGCATAGAGCTGCCCCTGTGAGCTTCTGAGATTTTAATGCTTTGTAATCGAAGAGTAAAAAAAATAAAAGGCCTCAAAAGAAAAAAAGGCCTAATTTTTCTTGCTGGTGGCTTCAAACTGCTGATGTTGTGGTAAACAGCCCAACACATCACCAATGTGCCACCAGGGCACCTTGTCCCTTAGGAATCATTCATCTAGGGCCTATCTCTAGCCATTCTCAACCTGTGGGTTGTGACCCCTCTGGGGGTCAAATGACCCTTTCACAGGGGTTGCCTGATTCATAACAGTAGCAAAATTACAGTTATGAAGTAACGAAAATAATTTTATGGTTGGGGGCAGGGGATTGCCACAACATGAGGAACTGTAATAAAGGGTCCTGGCATTAGGATGGTTGAGAACCACTGCTCTAGATTTACCTGTCTTGGATTTCATATACCAAAACCCTTTTTTTTTCTTTTTAAATAACAACACGGTAAAACAGAGAAATACTTAAACTGAGGAGAAAGCAAAAAATATTAAAACTATTTTTTTTGCCACAATTGGAAAAAAAAACCTACGTACAAGGAAGAAAAATGTGTCCACAAGTGAATGTGGTGATAATTGTCCAAATTTTGATATGATTGAATTATTGAATTGAATGACATGTGGATGAAGTGCTAACAACCCTGTTTAAAATATATATTAAAAAGTAGGGGGGAAATTAAAATGGGTCAAAAGGGAGATCAAATGAGAGGTGTTAAATTTTAACCAACTATATCTGCAGTAATCCACTTTCCAATGTATGCTGCATGATAGCAAGGCCATTCACATTCCTGGTCCGTGGTCAGGAGTGATTCACCAGGAGCCTCAGCCATATGTACTGCTCTTCACTTTTTTTTCTTTTTTTTTAACTGAAACAACTTTAGAATGGGTCAAAAGGGAGATCAAATGGTAAGCTATTACATTTTAACTTAGCTACGTCTGCCATAATGTACTGTACAATGATCTCTGTCTGAAAACAAGGCTATGCATAGCTATGGTCAGAGGAGATTGACCCGAGGCTTGATCCATGTGTGGACCCTGCAAATGGATCTTGGGCTTCCTCTGTCATCCATCGCCTTTTTTTTAATTGATCGTTTTATTAGGGGCTCATACAACTCTTATCACAATCCATACATCCATCCATCGCCTTTTGCAAACCAGATGCTCTCAATTTAAGCGCGGATACCAGTCCCTCCTTTGAATTTGGATTTGATTATTTACAATCCTTGGATGACACAGGCTGGCGTGCTTCTTCCATATTGGCACCATGGGGCTGTAACTCTTTTTTTTGGGGGGGGGCGGGTACTGTAACTCTTTAGGGGAGTAGAAAGCCTCATCTTTCTCCCAAAGAGTGGCTAGTGGTTTTGAACTGCCCACGTTGCGGGTAGCAGCCCAACTGTAGGCGGCTATGCGGCCGGGGCTCCTGGATTCCTACTCTCAGTGGAGATAAACTCCACGAGGATGGATTATTTTGGCCTTAAGCTTTATTAACACAGATGATGGATTGAGCGTGTGTGTCTGTGTGCGTGCGTGCGTGCGTGCGTGCGCGCGCCCGCGGTTGTTTTGGATAGCAATTCCCAGAAAGCACAGCCAGGGGCTGGGTCCCTGTCAGAAGAGAGGGTTCTCTGCTTCCCCCATCCAGAGTTTGAATGGGACACCCCAGTTCCTTACTGGGGTGGACAGGGTGGCAATAGCTTCTCCCCCATTGCACAAATAGTCGTCCAGTTACTGCCCTCCCAGACTGGCAGCTGCCAGCACGCAGGCACGCAGGCACACACACCACGGGCGTCATGCGGATCCACACCCCTTTGCCCCTCCCACGTTGTTTTCCAGCCTCAGGCCGTGGAGATAGAAGGGAGGAAGGCGGGTGGGACAAAGGCCAGCAGCACCAGCTTCCGGACTGGGCTGTCTTCCGCCAGGCGTGGGAACTGCCACTAACTCCCCTCTGCCGATCCCACCCATATGGTAGCCAGCCGGGGTGGTTCTGTCCACAGGTAGCCTGGGGAGGGGAGCCAGGAACCTTGGGAGTTCCGAGGAAGAA